GTTGGCGCTCGCGCGTCTGGCCTGAACTGCGCGCTTTGCAGGCAAAGCAGGCGACGCAGGCGACGGCGGTTCCCTTAGTCACACCGTTGCAAATACTATCATTACTTGTACAGTCTGCTTGCCTGAGTCCAGAGCCCTACTCCTCAGCCAATCACCTGACAGTCTAGTGTGTATCGCATGCCACCGCACCCCTCTCGAGTTGTTGCCGCTGCCACTGGCGTAGCCAACCTCCCACGTGACCCTTGTAGGCGAGCATCTCCTTGGGTCTCACAGCATGCCTGTTTGGACGACGCCTAATCCGGGCTGTAGCGACAACTAGAACTGGCCAACAGATGCGCTGCCAACTGCAACAAAAGGGCACTACAGTGATTCTCTGCCTGGAATCACTGGGTGTGGGTACTTAAGCTCTGGTGACTGCCCAAACACGCCTTCACGCAGCGTATGCATCACCTACCTTCTGCTCAAAAGCCTCAAACATATGCCTGTGAAGACAGATTTGCAGTCTGACCACTTCTGAGCGCACATGCATATTGGCAGCCACACTTCTGCACAAACACATGAGCATTTGCAAACAGTTACATGTGCTCCAGCTCACACCACTCTTCCAGAGCTGCAGCCGCCAGCTGGACCCCTTGAATTGCCTTGTCACCGCCAAAGCGGCAAGACGTGCCGCACCAGATGAGGAACTCTGCAGCAGACTTGAAGCTGCGCTCTGTCTTGTCCTTCAGCCACTTGTCTCGACGCCCACTAGCAAAGACTGCAAAGCAAATAGGCAGCACCACATCTTTGAACCGGCATGCAGCTGCTTCCTGACCGCACGCACGCTTGCAGATTGCCTGCGGATTGTAGCACCAGAAGCAGGCATGGTACGGTGCAATCTTGAGACGCCTTGAGCTGCCTGTTACTTGCTCTCGAGCAGCCTTAAAGTCCTCAAAGTAGATGCAGCACTGGTGCGTCTGATGGTTGTAGTCATTGCCAGTCGCACAGCACATGACACAGCTCCCAGCCACTGCAAGCAAGTTGTCCTCATACCGCTCAAGATCTTGATGCATCTTCTTTCTGCTCGCCGCTATGTTGGCTGCACCAGTGTGGCCCATGGTACTTGGCGCTGCAGAAGAGGAGCTTGTTGAGGTGTGATGCTGTGTTGAGCTGCCCTGGCATACATCACATGGCGCATCTGTCCCAGTTTGGCAGGAGAGCGCTGCTTCATCCATGTACGATGAGAGCGCACTGCGGCGGCACTCCTTGCCCTCCAGATAGCTGTAAAGCACCTGCTTGTCTGTGCTGACACTGGAAAGACTGGACCATGCACGCCACTCAGAGGGCAGAATGATCAGAGAGTATGCTGGCTTGAGATCCCGCCCAGCACGCTCTGACTCTTGTGCAAAGTCAATGAGAGAGTATGGCTCTCCTGCGTGAATGACCATGCGCACATGAGAGTAGTCAAAGCCAGTGCCAAGCGCAGAGGTGGCAACCATGAAGGGTTGTGCCGCAGAGCTGAGCCAGGTGCGCAAGATTGATGCCTTGTCCTCTGCCGTGTCTGCTGCGCACGCTGTGTACTGAGGACAGCCGAGTCTCTGTGACAGCTCCTCTGCTGTGCTGAGATCCTGCACAAAGATGATGATCTTGTCCTTGTTGCGGTCAAAGCTGGACTCTGTGTCCCATGCATGCTTGGCACGTGCAGCTACGTCTGTCACCAAGTGTGCGCCAGCCTTGAGCTGAGTGACTGCATAT